TGTTGTTCGCGGATGTTTGTCCCCCTAAACGGTGTTAGATGTCAAAGTATAATAGAGGCTAGTAACTTGGTGACGATTGGGATCAAACTTAATCACGGTGGTTTGTGCAGTTGTTGCGAGATTCCTTCTTAAAAATTCGAACGATCAGTGATTCACTCCAGGTTGATGGAATGCGCTCTTGTAACAAGATGTTACGCATTAAATCAGTAATGGAGTCTACAAGGTCATTGCCCCCCCCATCTTGAAAAGAGTGGGAGGAGGCCCGCTTGGCCCTGCTGCCTTTTCTTTCTTCAGTACTTGGACGCAAGACAAACCTCTGCTTCTTTTGGAGGATCGCATGACACTGCCCACGGAGCCTCGGCTACACCGGAAGAGATAGCATGGTTAGCGCCTGGCCAGCTGAACTGTTCATTGAAGTACTCCGCCGATCGGTCGAGCCGTTATTACCTAATGTGAATATCTTGTCCATTTTTGTCACAGATTGTTTCATTAGCCGTGGTTCGCCAACCTCCCGTATTGCGTATCAGTTGGAACAGTCTTTGACTATTCTCTGATGCAGCTACTACTTTCATTTCACCAGCTATCGTTGTTCACCAGTTATCGCGGTCTTTCTCGAGGCTTTTCTTGAGTTGATGTTGTACCAACTGAGATGCCAACTCGAGTCGAAACCTCCAACCTGGAGGACCAGGAGACTTGACTTCGTCTGACCTCTACTCATCGACTTTCCAGAGATGATTAGATCTGTGGCTTGACAAAAACCATCCGTATAGCTCTTTGGGTCAGAGAGGTGCACAAGCCATCACACCACGTCAAGATGCAGTCTCGTTGTGATTGGCATACCGTACAACCTTAATGAAATCGGATACAAATTTGCGAGCGTCGTTCGTCCGAAGCCACACTGGTGATTTAGAGAGAAAGTTGACCGCAATTCTCTCGACTCTATAACCAGTTCAAACCCTTCGAAAATGATTTGATAAAATCATAGTGTGACATAGATTAAATAACGAGTAGGTTAATGTATACTATTGGCATATCACACGTCCATCTTCAATCATTCGCCTTCTCACGATTCGACCTTCCAGTGTGTTTTCGCCTCCCGTGGATTTGAGGTTCTTGATGTTTGCCTATCTTGATTTGCCCGTCCTGGGCTCCTCATCGATCACCCCGTCTTCAAGGTGCCATACAGTAAAGCCATCTAACGTGACCGTCATTTGGCGGATCCTGAACCTAGGCTGACATAACGGTACGTAGTGTGATCGATGGCTGTATCTGTTGATTGAAGTTACGCACGCTGAATAGATGTGTAGTCATAAGGTGAACTTCGTCGTGAACTGAAAAGGTAGGAATGACTGGGTTGCTGTTTCGACCTGGTTGGGCATCAGTAGTGCAAATCCGTCGACCCAACTGGTGAACGGAACCGGGACCTGCTTTAGGCCCGCAAAGATGGATTGTGCTACATTGTGTGAAGGTAAATTGAAAAACTGTCTGATCTGCTCTCCGGTGGACAAGGGGGTAATATCCTTGCGTTCCAACTTTGAGACCCCGGGTTCGATCTGCAGCTGCATCAATGGACTCGCACTCGTTAAGAGACCCACTCAAGTCGCTGCAGCTGTCCAGCGCTCTCGGGCTTCTCAGTTCACGCTTCATTTGCTCAGTACACGACGAAATTAATCATCAAATGACCGAACGGTGTTCCGATTGGACTTCTCACGAATCCCGCAATGCGCTGGAAATCCCAGTGAACCGCTATTCGAAAAGCCAAGACCACTGGTATTTACCTGTAAAATACTGGGCGGAAGTGCGTGATTAAAACTCAGGCAGAAGAGTTAAAGGAAAAGTTTTATTACAAGATTATGTGTCGACTGTGAAGAAAACATGAACAGAATATGTCATCGTGGATTGCTTTTCGAAGTGAACCAAAGGTTTTGGAGTCAGTGTCGAGTTCGAAAAAGGGGAAAACTATCGTTGTAGTGTGTGTACTCGCAGCATCACACTGGTTAGTATAAGCATTGGCGTGGATTGTATTAGTGAAGTGCGAACCAGTTTCATTTCCTCAGACACCTGTACATAGGTCACATCAACGTATCTTCGTTCAATCCATCAATGGGCCCCACCAATCAGATCGTAAAGTGCATTGTGGTACCCAGTGGTCAGCGTCGATTCCAGCACCCGCGGAATTGGGAGTATCAGATTGGATATGGTGGATCACTTGTTGTCGACTTATGCAGCCGTAAAAATGCCAACGATTCTCGACAATCTCTGGAATCCGATGGGACACCTTGGTTCTCAGTGAATCTCGCTGCAATGAGCGTTTTGTATGTTCTGCTCTATGGATAATCGAACAAAATTTGGCAAACAATCCGAATTTTTGAACTTTTGCATCCATCATAAACAGACATGAAGCGTGCGAGAAAGTGAGTTAATGATATAGTTTGAAATAGGTGTTGTTCCTACTTGGTGCTTGTGTAGTTCGCCTCTTCCCGCACACAGAAAGGTAATACATTCCTTCGAACTGAACGTTAGACTGATGTTCCGTTCCGGTTTGCTGCGCTGCTCGTATCGTGCTGTATGAACGTCAGATAGGTATCTCACTCGAAATCTTATCTAGTCATGCTTCAGTCATCAGCTCTACAAGCAAAATACTGAGTCTCTTACTTGTTTGCAAATGTCATCCGCAGTCGTTCAGTATTCAGGGTATCCACACGACCATGTCGGTCAAGCCGGAATTTTTCGTGACGGAAACAATTCTTGAGATTGTTGTAACGGTTTACGTGCCGCATCAGTTCCAGTGTAAACATAATAACAGGTTCAAAGTTTAACGGGGATGAGCATATGTCGCCGTTTAATTAGAGTTTGCACTGAAGACAGAAGTTGCATAAGCACAGAAGGAAGTTGCACATAACTCTGGTTTCCGCTGAAATCCTTGTTTCTTGGCATGAACAATTTCCAAGGCAATTCTATTGTAGCTCAGCAGCTATACATAAAATATCTTCATTTACACATGCGGATAACCAACAGAACAATAAGTAACGTCTCCAACCAATTGGGGTTTTTGTGTGCCCTAAGGACAGTAATCGTGTTGACGAAGAGCATAAATGTGATTCCAATTGTCGTCATGTCAGTTTTGACACATGAGGTACGATCGTATAATGCTACTCATCGTTCTGGAAAATACCGAGCCACTATCTCTGCAGTGTCGACAGAGATGGGAATAGTTTCAGACCATCTAATGAATTTGTTAGTACACGTGGGTGAATATACCCGTGTGATAGTGGTAATGAAGCTATGATGTCGATGTGCACGCGGTCAAAGCGAGCGTCAGGTCTGTAGAACGTACACATGGTGCAGCTCCATATCGGTACTGTTCATATTGTTGTCACAGTAAGCATTGTTTCGCCCAAATATGAACATCTATATTCATTGACCACCAGCAATAACGTGCGGCAATCGAAGGAGTAGCTCTGGTGCCTAGGAGAAAAAATATCATGTACAATTTCGAAAACAAGACGGTGATAGGATGAAGATAAAATAGGTGGGGGTAGACCGGTAGGCATATCACATCAGACGGTACCGTTCTTACGGAAGTTGAATGAACTGCCTCTTCGCGTAATAAATTCTGTCTCTGCCTCTGATATGGCATGGATATCTAAGGATGAATTTATGACATAAGCAACGCAGTTCAAATCACACTGGACCTGTGATAGTCCGTCGTGATTTGTGAAGTTTAGTCTAGGTGCAAGCATTCTCAAGATGAGTAACTATCTGACTCAGGATAAATGATTGATCGAAATTCACTAAACCCAAGAATATTTAAATGAGAACGGTGAACTGTAATTTCTTATAGCACGTACTGTATCTTTACCTGATGAAATACCCCCTTTTATGGTCTTATGTCCCAGGAATGCGAGTGCCCTTTTGCTATGCTCACATTTGCGAGGATAGAACGCCGTATCATTGTCAGAAAAACGTTCAAATGTAAGCTCAAATGGTGATAATGTTCATCTATAGTGGAAGATTACAGTATTTCTAGTCGATTATGCTGAACGCGTGTTCGGACTGGAAAACCCACTGAGTAGTTCGAAGTCAGATAGAACCAAGAAGAGCTGCGGCTACAGTTATTTCTATTCAGAAAAGCATGCGAGGATATCAAAAATGTCATTCACATAATGGTCTATCCTTCGCTGTCCGTTTGTCAGCTATTCAGTATTCAGCGAATCAGATTGTTTATGTTCGGAGGCGGAAGAAGGGCTAGAATCACGGTTTCTTGGTTGTCTGTTTGAATGCTGTCTCGCGATGCCCGTGTACTGCCATCCAACCTCACCGTAAGTTCATCAAAGAGGAGCAACGGGTTTATCATTAGAGTAGAAGCGAACAAAATCCAAATGCTGAGTTATACTCTCGGTAAACATTTAGAAAGTATGAGCAGCGTTTTGTAAACCAAAAGACATATATAGGAACCAGAAAACTCCGAAAGAAGTAGCGATGGCAGTCGTTTTCGCAAATATGGTGGCATTCATGATTTGCTGGGAAGCTTGAACCAGATCAATATCGAGATAAACAGTTGTGATATGCTGTGAGTTAAGGAGTGTGGGGTTGGGATAAATATCAAAACGATTCACTGCAGTAACTAATACATAACACAGTTTCCTGAACAACGGTTGACTACGTCGTATCACCCATCCGTGTTGACCTCAAGATGTTTATAATCCGCCGATGTTTTAACAGCTCAAGGCAGCGGATCCTAATGGATTCCGCCAACGGTATCTGAAAACGAAATCGCAAAAGAGCAAACTCTACAGCGTCCTAAGCAAAAACCTTTTTCATAAATCTACATTTGACGGCGATGGGGTCAGTGAATTCTTCAAAAAGGGGCTCTATAAAGCATTACGACTCACGTTTTTCGCCGCCAAATTGAAAGTATTCTACTCACCTTATCCGGTCACTGCTTAGAGACTTGAAGATCAAATGCACTGTTGACCATTTCCATGTCTGTCAATTCACGTGCTCCTGTGGAGCCGATTGCGTCAGTCGTATCAATCGGCAGTCGTTCAAACAGATTCAAGAGAATCGTCCGGTCTGGTTGAGAAAAAGACTAACAAACGCCATTCGTAGCTCAATTGCGGAGTTTCTAATCAGCACGGAGCATCCGGTTTAGGTAGAGCTGTCTACAGAGTCCCGATGAATCTAAAAGAAACGTTTTTACTTCCTTTGATTACAGAAATGTACAACGAACTTTCAGGAGGGGCTGCTGCCATACAAGGACTGTCTGGGGGAACACAGATAATGGAGACATCTACCTAAAAAAGGGGCAAATTATGCTTTGCACAACCGGAGAGGTAGCCATTCGGATTCACCACCGCGAATTATGCAGTGAAAAGTGGATTATCCGCATCTTAAGGTTACCTTGGCCAGACAGTAAGACGTAACAACAATTGATCAGAAAATCAAATGCTAATTGAATGACCGTGTCACACGATGAGTTTCATCAAATAATTACAAATTTTAATTCCCGGAATATACCAGCTGCACACTTTGAATAAAAAATACAGTTTAGCGAAATAGCTTTTTTTACGGTGACCCATCAACCGGCTCATACGTCACATTTTATATCACATCATTTTGTGTAGAAAAGAGGGAACAAAGTCAGTTATTATTCAAATGGGGATTGTTGTTATTGCTTTTTGTCTCAATTTCACAAGACCGGATATGGCTGATCCTGCCATCGGAAATTTTCAACCCTATCCCACTAGTCTATTTCTGTGAATCCTGACTTTTGTTGTTACCCTGTGATCGTGCACCAGTGTGGAAGCTAAAAAACCAATAATGGACTAGAATTCTTCGCTTCGGTAATCTTTTCAACGAACAATGTGGATATTACAACAGTCGCTACAATAACTGACCAATATTCCCGTGGTCACCAAATCTCGGCGAGATTCGTGAACTACAAATAACGAGTACCATACTTTTTGAATTAATTTGCCAAACTCACGCCCAGTAAGTACTAATCTGCCCGGTGCCAATTGGCCTGGAAGGACAATGACCGGTGAACCCTTAGTGACTGTGTAGTGTGCTACGCAGTCAGCCATTGAACTCACCCTAGATAAGTTTAATTAATTTGGGGAATAGAGCAGATGTCTCCTGAATGTAAACTATGGTACAAGGCATGTGATTGATTATTAGTCGGGGTATACTTTCGGAACCGTGAATTGCGTTAGGTTCATTAACGGCAGTCTACGTGGATAAAAAATATCTACAAGAAACGTGTCTTCTGTAACTTGGTCACGTACGAGATACAAACGGCCGACCTGAGAAGAAGAACCGACGAGTATGGATACCTTTTAACTACAATATGATCTTTTCCTTCGAGTGAGGGCAGGGTTTACGGCACCGTCGTGGGTACATTTGGATAAATAAACAGCCGCGGATGTCGTGTTGCTCCGTCAAGTTGACCGTTGCTTGTCTTATTTCATAGGTAGGAATGGTAGTTTCATTCTATTCACAGACCCCAAACATCTTCACTTGTGTCCTACTGAAACAAAGCGGTTAGACTGAACCTTGGGCACCTGTAACTGCCATAGAACCAGCAATGTTCATCCCCTGATCGGCTTATCTGGTGTTTTGGGACGTTTGCATGCGGCTGACGTCTGGCAGACGCGGATTAATTGTGCTGCCCACTCGTACCTAAAACACATCAAACAAAACCGTCTCAGAAGGATAGACGTTGAGATGTATGTATTGTGGTCATGG